TGTTTGTGTGCAAGAATGGAGAGCTCCGATCGTTCTCTGACATCTACTATATCCCACGATTGACGACGAACATGTGAGCGTCGGGTAGCTCGATGAGGCCCGGTGCAAGGTCGACATCGATGACAGCGTGATGTGGATTCGGGAGCCCTACCAACGGTTGCTGGCGAAGGTAAAGCGCACGGCAAACTGGCTGTACATGCTCCACATCAAGTTGGCATAGCCGTCGTGCCTGGCGCTGCATGGGCATGGTGACGAGGTGGCATGGTGCTGGCATGAGCGCTTCGGAGACGTCAACATGGCAGCGCTACGGAAGCTAGCCTGGGAGGAGTTGGTGCAGGGATCGCTGGAGATCGGGCAGCTCGAGCAGCTGTGCGAGGCGTGCCAAGCCGGGAAACAACGACGTACCTTGTTTCCTGTGCAGGCCGAGTACCGTGCACGACAGCTGTTGGAGCTGGTGCACGGCGACTTGTGCGGTCCAATCACGCCGGCGACACCATGGGGGAACAAGTATTTCCTGCTGTTGGTGGACGACCTTAGCCGATACATGTGGGTAGCCGCGATTCCTTCAAAGGATTGTGCAGCGGCTGCCGTCAAGGACACCCAGGCGTGTGCAGAAGGCGAATCCGGACGAAAGCTCAAGGGACTCTGTACTGATCGCGGAGGTGAATTCACCTCGATCGAGTTCGTGGAGTACTGTGTAGCTGAAAGCATACATCTAAAGTGGCTTTGGGAGAGGTACATGAAGGAATTTGTGGAACTCATCAATCGGTTGCTTAGGAGAGCGGGGTTCTATTGGCCGAGGATGATTGAAGATTGCTTCAAATATTATAGGGGATGCGAAGCATGTCAACGATTCGGCAATGTTCAATTGGCGCCCGCCGCCGTGTTGAATCCTATCATCAAACCAAGGCCATTCCGAGGTTGGGCTTTGGATTTCATTGGTCAAATTTATCCTCCGTCATCAAAGGGGCATAGGTTCGTACTAGTTGCAACGGATTACTTCACCAAGTGGGCCAAAGCCATGCCGCTCAAGAATTTGACTCATACGGAGGTAATTGACTTTATTTTGAAGCATATTATCTATAGATTAGTTATTCCGCAAACATTGACTACAGATCAAGGAGCTTCTTTTATATCTAAGGAAGTGAAGAGTTTTACCGAATCTTATGGTATTAAATTGTTGAGTTCTTCTCCTTACTACGCTCAGGCTAATGGACAAGCCGAGTCCAATAATAAGACGTTGAAATTAGTCAAAAAGAAGATCGAGGAACACCCAAAGAAGTGGCATGAAGTGCTTTCTGAGGCATTGTGGGCGCATAGGATATCTAAACTTGGTGCCACTAAAGTCACTCCTTTTGAGAGTATTTATGGTCAAGAAGCCATTTTGCCGGTTGAGGTGAATCTTGGCTCTCTTCGGTATATCAAGCAAGATGATTTATCAAGTGAAGACTACAAGACCTTGCTGGGAGACAATCTTGATGAAGTCATCGACAAGCGCTTGAAGGCTTTGGAAGAGATAGAGAAAGAGAAGAAGAGGGTGGCCAAGGCATACAACAAAAGGGTGAAAGCAAAGTTATTTCAAGTTGGAGACTTGGTTTGAAAAACAATTTTGCCTTTGGTTCCTCGATCCAGAGAGTTCGGTAAATGGTCTCCTAGTTGGGAGGGTCCTTATTGGGTATGCGGCATTGTTCGGGGGAACATGTATTTTTTGGAGACACTTCAAGGAGAGCGTTTTTAGCGAGCAATCAATGGGAAATACTTGAAGAAATACTTCCTGAGCGTTTGGCAAGATGCTTAGGAAGTCCTATGGCCCGGTAATTGGATTATCACCCTAAGACCAAAAGATGTTCTATGCTTTTAGATTCACCTTGTTCATCAAAAAGGTAGGGGGGCATGTGTTTACACTCAAATTTGGCACCTAGGAATAAAATAGGGAAAGTTGCCAAAGTTTGGAAGTCTACTGGTGTTTTCCTCTGGAGGACGGTCTGACCGCCGTGTATAGGCCTGTCAGACCACGGCTTGAACTCCGGTCAGACAAGTGGTGTGTGGTCGGTCTGACCGGCAGAGTCCAAGTCCAGGACTGTTTCGTCGGGTCACGAGGTTTCCTTGCTCGGGAAGGCATATTTCGGGTTTCCTTTGGATTCTATCCCGAGTTGGACGTGGAGGAGGGCCTATAGAGGGCAAGACCAACCTATATTTAAGGGACATGGCCGGTTCATTGTAAAAATCAATCAACTATCAATCAATCGAATCGTTCTTTTACTTTTGCTTCTAGTTCTAGTTTAGTTTGTCCATCTTTGTCGATTTGCGCCGTAACTCGTCCGACGCCGCTGCGAGATTGCGACACCTCTTTGTAGGTTTGTCCTGAAAACCTTCCCACGAGACGAGTAGCTATCCATCGTTCTACCTAGAATCGGCTCCGCTAGCCGGTTTAGTTATCAAAACCCATCTTGGTTTAGCTTTGGCTAGATTGAGGTGGTTGGCGACTCTGAGATCGCCGCAAGGCGTTTAGGTGCTGCGATCGTGCTTGTCAACTTGTCACAAAAAGTTGCCAACAACTGCGCCCTACAGCTCGCAGCAGAATGGCGTCGTCGAGCGCCGAAACGACATGGTGGTGGTGACGACAAGGAGCATGCTCAAGTTGAAGGGACTGCCCGGATGGTTCTAGGGAGAGGCGGTAAGCACAGCTGTGTATGTGCTGAACAGGTGTTCGACGAAGAGCGTGGACGGCATGATCCCGTTCGAGACGTGGCACAGGAAGAAGCCGGCAGTACACCACCTGCAGATGTTCGGCTGCATCATCTACATCCGGAACACAACGCCGCACCTGACGAAGCTCGAGGATCGTGGCCGCAAGATGATCTTCGTCGGCTACGAGTGTGGGTCTAAGGCGTACTGCGCCTACGATCCCGTCACAAAGCGTGTTCATGTGATGCGTGACGTGGTGTTCGATGAGCAAGCCCAGTGGGACTGGGGCACTAGCAGCGATGATGGAGAGCTAGGTGGTGGCGACAACATCTTCACGGTGGAGTACTCCACTATGGAGCCGACAGCCTCAGTGGTTTATGGTGCCACTGCAGAGCCGGGGGAGTAGTTGCCGCATCCTGGCAGGGCTGGTGGCGAGGAGCCGACGTCAGGTGAGCAATCACCGCATCTCAGTGGGGATCGCGACACGGAGCTGGAAACCGGCTCACCAGCAGGCATCGACAATGACTACCTGGACGCTGACCACGATGATGATGCCCCACTCCGGTTCTGCAGCATCAACGACATCATCGGGCCAGCCTCGCCATGTGGCTTCGCACCATGTGCATTGGTGGCGGAGGAGCTGTATGCAGTGAGCTCTGATGAGCTTGCCTTGTTCGATGAGGCAGAGCGATTGATGGCGAAGATGGAAGCGATTGAAGACAACAAGACTTGGTCGCTGGCGGATCTTCCACCTGGTCGATGTGCGATTGGGTTGAAATGGGTGTTCATGGTGAAGAGGGATGAGCATGGAGCAGTGTGCAAGCACAAGGCGCGTCTCGTGGTGAAGGGCTATGCGCAACGGCAAGGCATCGACTACGACGAGCTGTTTGCTCCGGTGGCGCGGTTGGACTCGGTGCACCTGCTCATCGCCCTCGCGGCGCACAAGGGGTGGGAGCTGGACCATATGGACGTCAAGTATGCGTTCCTCAATGGGGACCTGCAGGAAGAGTTCTATGTGGAGCAGCCGGCCGGGTTCGTCATCGCCGACAAGGAGCACAAGGTGCTCAAGCTACGGAAGGCGTTGTACGGGCTGCATCAAGCACCGCGCGCCTGGAACGCGAAGCTGGACAACACACTGCAGTCACTCGGTTTCAAGAGGAGTCCATCGGAGCACGCCATCTATGTCAGGCGGAACGGCAACGCACAGCTGGTGGTCGGGGTCTACGTCGACGACCTCATGATCACTGGCTCCAACTACGACGACATCAGGCAATTCAAGAAGGAGATGGCTGCTGCATTCAAGATGAGCGATCTCGGTCAACTTCACTACTACCTGAGCATTGAGGTGAAGCAGAGCGCAAGTGGAATTTTGCTCAGCCAAGGAGCTTATGCTACCAAGAACCTGGAGAAGTGTGGCATGGAAGGGTGCAATCAATGTCAAGTGCCCATGGAGACACGGTTAAAGCGGAGCAAGTTCAGCTCGGAGCCGTCGGTCGACGCGACGGCATATAGAAGCATCGTCAGGAGCCTGAGGTACCTGGTTAACACCTGTCTTGATCTTGCTTTTGCTGTTGGGTATGCTAGCCGGTTCTTGGAAGATCCACGAGAGGACCATCTCGCTGCTGTGAAGCACATCCTACACTACGTGGCGGGAACCAAGAATTTGGGAGTTTGGTTCAGCAGGAAGGTGGAAAAGGAGGCGTACCTGAGGGGGTTCAGTGACAGCGGTTATGCTGGTGATGTCGATGCTAGGAAGAGCATGACTGGGGTGATTTTCTTCCTCGGCAGCAGCCCAATCACTTGGCAATCCATGAAGCAGAAGGTGGTGGTGCAGTCAAGCTGTGAGGTGGAATACATAGTAGCCGCAAATGCTGCTTGTCAGGCATTGTGGCTTGCTCGTGTGCTGGCAGAAGTGCAAGGATCGACACCGAGAGCGCCAATGCTAAGGGTGGACAACAAGTCTGCCATTTCCTTGACCAAAAATCCAGTACTCCATGGACAGAGTAAGCACATTCAAGTGAAGTATCATCTAGCCCGGGAGGCTGCGGAAAATGGCCTGATCAATGTGGAGTTCATCAGGAGCGAAGAACAGCTGGGCAACATTCTGACGAAGCTGCTGGGCAAGACCAAGTTCCATGAGCTACGTTCAAAGATCGGCCTGATCAACATCAGTAATGAGCACAGCAAGTCTTAGGAGGAGATTGTTAAGAATAATCCTTGTGTGCTGATTAGTAGTAGCTCTATATGGTTAGTTGTGCATGTCTGCTTGTTTTGGCCTAATTGGAGGCTATGGTTGCTTTCCTTGTAATAGCTTATTTTAAGCAATGGAATAGTCTGGAAAAGCTGTCAATTCAGCAGCACCAAACAAGACCGTGTTCCTCTGTTCGCATGAGTTTTTTTTTTGTGTGTGTGTTGGCCGTGATCTCATCGGCGACGTGGTTTACATCGTCTCTCCGGCGTGATTATGACATAGAACACCACCTAAGGTTGGTACTACTGCAAACAATCGACAAATGGCTCACCGCTTGAACAGGAATCGACGACGGGGGGGCTAGGTCGGAGTCGGAGAAGGCGGTGGTCGATCTCCCTCCTCGCTGCATAGATCCGTGAGATTCTTGGGGCATTTTGTAGAAGACGATGAGGCAAAATCAGTGGCGCAGCAACTCAGCCGGATTCAGCTTAAGGCGACGGGAATGGCGACATGATCCCACGGCTGCGCTTTGACGACGGTGTGGCCACGCTCCAGAGCTCCCGTGGCGAGGTCGGTGTTCCTGGGGATCGGCTGCAAGAAACGGGGCGAAATCAGAGCAGAGGCTATGGCGTGCTGCGGTGAGTCGGGAACGAAAGAAAAATGGCGATGACGATGACCCATTGGGCGGCAGTTATGGAGTCATCCCGACGGCCAGCAAGAAGATGAAGGCGAGGAGAGCAAGGGGAAACTCTCCCACTTTGATTTCTTGGCTCTGGGGTGAAGTGTGAGTAGAGAGGGAGCAGCTTGGAGAGCTGGAGTCAAAGAGGAAGCGAAGAACGGTGCCACCACACGAGATACGTGTCGGCATGCATGCCTGTCGTGGGTGCCACGTGACATTTTGCGTGCACCCAGGGTGGAGTTAGCCTAGGACATTGACATGTGGGGCAGGACGTGGTACACTAGGCAAGGGTTAGGAGGATGGGTAGGAAGCAGAGTGAACATCTGTTTTGGTTAATTTTTCAGGAATTTCTTTCTCTCCTTCTTGGTTAAATAGTTTGAACTAGTTAGAAAAATGCTAAAATTATGTGCTCTGATGTGGAGATATCCTGAGTTTCCTAGTTTCCATTTTTCAAAGTTTCACTCTAAAATTAGAAATATTTTTATTTCTGGCAAAAAGGTGAAAAGGGGTATGCTGAGAACTAAATTGACTTTTAAGGAGGTCAAAACTAAGTGTAAAAATTCTAAAAAATATATATTAACTTGTGATAAATAATCTAGTATTTTAATAAATTATAAAACCTATACCCTCATGTTCAACTTTAAGCACATTTAGAAGTTGCTTCATTTTGCCGATTAGATTTCTAATTAATTAAGTATGATTATACTTGACCGATATACTTGAGGTAGTAAAAAGGGTGATAAAATGATGAAACCTTCATAGTTGTCATCTTAGGTTGTCTAATTGACATGAGGACCTTCAAGGAATTTTATGTTGCTTAGATTTGTTACAGCGTCTCTATGTTCATTTAACATGTACCAATCAGCAAAACAAAGAAAATCATTCAAGCCAATAAATTGGACTTCACTCAAAACATATACTCAAGCACACAGTGACTAGTTACTCAATCTACTAGCCAAAAGCTATGTGTGATCGGGTAGATTATTTAATAAGCGAAAAATTAATGAATAGACTATGAGGTTACAAAATTACCGATTGGTCATTCAATAAAGTTAAATACAAAGAGGTTTCGACTTGGCTTAAAAGCTAAAAGGGAGAAAAATGGTGGAGCTTTGTGGATTATTTGTGTCGGAGGGTAAACTCTTCAAGCTGGGGATTGTGGGACCCCCTTTCTGGTTCGGACCAGGGACACGGGTGAAGGTTTGAGAGTTGATGGGAAAGACATGCGGAGGGCGTCGGGCCCCTCGGGAGTGATGGAGATGTATGCGGTTTATACATGTTCGGACCAGGGACTCATGTGCGTGGTTGATTCTGGTGGGAGAATACAAGTGCTTTCTTTCTCTAGGTTTCGATCCCCCTTTCTTGCAGGCATTGGTCTCCTTTTATATCTTAAGGGGTTACCACAAAGGCCCAAGACCTAACTTCAAGGGAAAGGACAACATTCTTTACAGGTAATTAATGTGTGTTTGTCCTCCCGACATGGGAAGCCACGCGCGCCTTACCACGGCATGGGCTCCATCCCATCACGCCGGCCGACACGGGCGAATACCCATGTCATTCCTTTTTAACTGTCGACGACTACTGGCCGTCCGGCCCCACCAAGGGGTAGGGATCTCTCAAACAGACCAGCATGGAAAAAGCTGGTCTGAGTCCAAATGAGAGGCAGAAAGCCGCTCATTAATGGTGACGGGATGGGGCAGGCATAGGCCATGCCCTCTGCTAGTAGGAGGCGCATGCGCACGGCGCCCTGTCCTAGGCCTGCACGCCGTCACATCCGTCATTCCGGCTGCAAATGGTCTGTCAGTGCGCATGCCCGCCGCATTAAATGCGGTGTTCATTAAATGTGGTGGTTGGGTGCTGGGAGCGCCCGCCCAGGGCGCACACGCGAAACAAAGCATAGAGGGCCTCAGGACGGCCTGACCCCTGACGTGGGAGGCAGCCGCTGCTCCACCCCAGGGACCGACACCCTCGGGGGGCACCACGTGGGCTGGGGGTGGCCTTCGCCCTCCTTAAGGGGTACCCTCGGGCCCATATCACCGACAATCTGGTATCGAGTCAGCTTGATCTCTTATATCATTGTTCCCCTCGTGCAAGTGAAAACTTAAATTAGTCAAGCTACTCCTAAAATGTGTTGGTAGATTTTATTAGCGCTAATGCACTCTCTGAAAAAAAGATAAGACTTCATTAACGTAGCAACTTATAGATTTCGCCACCAAGATTATAGGGTCATTTGTTTTCTGGAAAAGAAATGTTTTCCCTATAATAGTAGCTAAAGATTCATATCATCCCAAATGAAAGTCTGGCAAAACCATTTTAAACATAAGAATCATCTCAAGATTTTTTTTATGAAAGTTATAGAAACTCCTATAATGTTATTAGAAACACAGCATTTGACATGTTAAACTATTAGTTAAATTTTCAGGTTGTTACACCCCCGACTCGGGATTATAAGATAAAAACCTTATCCCTTACGGTCTAAGTCCCCTATAGATACTTTACAATCGTAACCGACTAGGATTATGGGATATTTCCTTGACATACAAGATAATACAATACCCGAATCCTTATCTTTTACTATGAATTACCAGTCACGTAATGTAACCCTGTGGGTATATGGTACCATAATCTCCACAGTGCCTTATAATACTACTAGGAGACAGATCAGGTATCACAGGAGAAGCAGGAGACATTTTGAGAGCAAGCACTCCTAGAGAAGCACTTTCTGTCGTGGTTCTATAAAACAATTTAATTCACAATCATGGTTCTATAAATAATTATTAATCACTTTCCGTCGTTAAATTTATTTAGCACTAGCACAACAGAGGAAAAAAAATCAAGAAAACCTGGTATGATGCAAGTTTTCACAAAAATTGTTGATGATAGTGATTTTTTATTTCTTTCACGGTGTTAAGTAGGCTGACCATTTTTTGTGCGGGACCTAGGATTGAAGCCTAAGGTCCTGTTTGTTTCAGCTTAAGATTATTATAATCTAAATTATAAAACTAGATTACTAAAAGTTGGATTATAATAAGCCGATATAGAATAAGCTGTTAGCTGTTTGTTTCTCTGGATTATTATTTGTTTGTTAGCTGTTAGTCACCCAATAATTTAAAAAAACACCTGTAGAGTGGTTTACCAGATTATAGTAATCTAGCTTATAGATTATAATAATCTATCATAATAAGCTATCAGTTTGTTTCAGCTTACTTCTAATAATTCAGATTATAATAATCCTAAGCTGAATCAAATAGGGCCGAGCATCTCCAACAGTCTCTTCAAATCTGACTCTCCAAATGTCTATTTGGCCAACTCTCCATCTAATTTGGCAAGTCAAACTTGTTGTCTACTCCAACAGCCTCTCTATTCATACTCTCTATTCTGAGTCTATGACAATGGGACCCACATGTCACTCTCTGCAACTTTTTCTTCTTCCTCTTCTTCCTCCCCTTCTCTCCCCTCTCCCCTCTGCTGCCGCCGCCCCATCCCCTCTCTCTCCAGCCCCTGCTTCTTCCCGCTCATCCTCACCGCAGCGAGCACCTCAACGAGCGCCTCCGTCTTCGCGTCCCTCTCCTCGCCGGACTCCCCGACGGCGCCATCCACGAACGCGAAGACCCGGCTGCACGACTCAATCTTGATAATCAGACAATCCTCCTCGAGCTCCGGCGACGATGGCGGGAGCATTGCACCAACAACATCGGGCGGTGGTGGACCTCCTATTCCCCGATGACGGCGGCGGCGCCCTCACCACCACCACCTCCTCCGCCGCCGCGGCGCCCATCGATCGATTTACCCAACACAAGTCAGGGAGAGGACATGTCATGGGAGGGCAAGCAAAGCAAGGAAGCTGCTATAGAAGCGGCCAAAAAATGGCTGCGGCAAGCAAAGCAAAGAACACCGAGCTGCAATGCATTGCAATGCAACGCTAGCTGCATCGCCCAAGTTTTGGATGCCGCTGCTGCTTGGCCGAGCTCGTGCTTGTGCCAGGAGACTAGGAGAGAGAGAGGGGGAGAGAGAGTGAGAGAGAACATGGGTCCCACTGGATGAGCGGATGGCCAGCCGGCTTGACTGGCTAGATTTGGCTAGCGGGAACTCAGGTTTAGCCAGCCGGATGGCTTGGGCATCCAGTTGGAGAGTCTCTTGGAGCACGATTTTTTCTTAGAATTGCTAAAATTTAACTTGGCTACCTATTTGGCCATTTTATTGGAGTTGCTCCTAGTGCCTCTAAAAATTTAAAGAAGACGAGTTTGAGCCGGCATGATCCGGTTCTGGTGGCCACCTAAGCTCTTTGTTACTAGAGATGGCGATCATGACCAAATGGGCCGCCTAATCTGGTCACCCTTTGCTTGAGGCTGGACGGTGATGATGAGTGTTTGATGCTTATTATTATTATTATTATTATTATTATTATTATTATTATTATTATTATTATTTACTTATTTATTTATTTATTTTTCATCACAGATGGTTGGACACTGCTGAACTACTACTGTCACCTACACAAGTAACGGGTGATCAGTCCTTACCTACACAGGTACTTAGAGCATCCCCAGCAGCTCTTTATCCAACCCTCCATATGAGAAATGGCTTATGGAAGCAAAAAAAGAGGCTCCAGCTGACGCTCCAAAACATCCTCCAAAAATAGACATCCGCCAAAACAGGAGAGAGAAACGCCCTCCTCACGCTATCCGGTTCTCCCGCCCCCATCCGGATCGATCCCACCTTCGCCGGCCTGATCCCACCTTCGCCGGCCGCCGTCGCACGTCCCTGTCCTCCCTCTTCACTTGGCGCGGCGGTGGGGTGGCGTGCAGCATCGCTGCCGACGCAGCAGGAGGCGGCGATGGTGGTGGGGGAAGGAGGAGGTGGCCGGCGGCCAAGGCGGCGGCTGTGGGCGACGACGCCGCAGCGAGTGAGTCAGGCGGCGACTGGATTGACAGCCAAGGGCGGCGGGGATGGCAGCCGAGGGCGGTGCGTGCGGCCGTGGGCTGGCGCGGCGGCGCTTGGCGTCTAGGAGGCGGCGGGACGGCGTACGCCGGAGGGAGGTGGCTTAGCGTGACGGCCGGGTCACGGGGAGAGGGGAAGCCGGCCGGTGCCTCTGCCGACCGTCGCATCCGCCTCCGCCTGCCTCCGCCGACCGCCGCATCCGCCTCCGCCTGCGCCCGCCGGCCGCCCACGCCTGCTCGCCCACTTCCGCCCACGCCTGCGCCTGCCCGCCCCCCTCCGCCTGCGCCTGCGCCCACCCGCCCCCCGCCTTCGCACGTCGGCCGCCCCCTGTCTGGTAGAAGAGAGAAGAGGAGTAGAAGAGAGAAGAAGTGTTGAGAAAGGAGAGGTAGAAGAGAGAAATTAATTTAAAATAGATAGCAGTTGAAAGATAATTGTAAAATATAAGATGAAGGATGTAATATGGATGATCTGCTGGAGTAAAAAGAAATATAGAGTGATAATCTTTTTGGAGGATCATCCAAATAGCAATATGGAGGATAAAATTTAGATGAGCTGATGGGGATGCTCTTAGGGCCGCTTGTGAAGAAGCATTTTTGCAGGCGAACAGTACTACTTAGCCACCTGCAAAAATTGATATACGCAGGCGGCCGCCCGCCCACCTGTGATAGTGCCTGATTTTCACAATCCTTAAATCACAGGTGGAGCAGTAGGACGCCTACGTAGATCGGTGTTTGTTGATCGTACTGGTGATGGACCAAATGACACTATCGGTTTTCCCAGTCACAAACAAGCTGTTCTAATCTAGTATAATGTACCAGCTTGGGACACTGGTATCATGTGTTGCTCTTTTATATACTGGCTATTAAATTCCCCGGGCTTCAACCTCCTTGTTTCTACATGCCACTACTTTTTTTGCTACAATGTAAGCCATGCAAGTTTGTGATAGAGAAAAGTAATGTAGGACTGACAAACTTGTACGTCAGTAATTTTTATAAAGAAACTAAATACTAATATGTACCTAACTATTGCTTATCTATTCAAAGTCATCCATTAATATATGAACCTTAGGATCTTCTGTGCATTCGAAATATTTCCTCCACCTAAACGTCCTCAATTAAATGCAAGATATCTTATTTATTTGTTTCAGCCATGCTCTTCTCCTTGCATTCAGTCGGAAGATGAGATGGGGAGGACACCAAGCAATCGGTGAGGAACTTCTGACTCGGGGATCATGGTGGGGACTAGGTGTGGGTAGAGAAGAAACGGTGGAAACCAGTCGGGTAGACGATAGCAGTGGTAGAAGAAGCACAAATAGATTTTGCCGGCAGGGAGCAGACAAAGATGATGAATATAAGCCCTAGGTAGTGATGTGTCCCACCACCCGTCACATGAACACTCAAGACAATCATCTGACTTAATCACTGATGAGAGCTAATCCGTTACACCATTTCAAGGACCGATCACACGTAGCCGTACAAAGAAACTACAACAAGAGGTGAACTCGCTTCTAGCTAAAACATATTTCAATATTGACGAGAACAACACTAGGTTTACACATGTACAACACTTGATGGGCATCTATCGAGACGAGCTAGAAGATCAAAGTGGTTACGTGAAGATGACGACCGTTTACGTCATGCTGATTTTGGAGTACACTGTCTCCAAACATTTGCTCCAACTTCCAAGGGATGTGCAACCTAGCCAGTCAACTTCCTTCATGTTTAATATACTAGCAAATATGCCCGTGCATTGCAACGGGATTTAGTAAGAGAGGTTAAACGTTTCGTTGCTTTGTTGCACTCTACTATAGTATGTTTTCAGTTTTTTTAGTGCTACAAAAGGAAAAAAAGGTAAAAAGGCATCTGCAATGGGAAAGAAACACACACTTTATAGTATCGAAATAAAATCTTTAGTGAAATATGTTCGAATTCTAGAAATAATTTAATATTTAAGGAAATAATAATTATTTTGACATAAAACCATATTAACGTTGGTCAAATACAATATCATATAATTAATACTTTCTAGATAAACATTTTGTTGGTCTCATTTATCTAAAAATAATCTACTAAGTGATTAAATAATTGATCATAATTTCCCAGCAATTTTAAATGGCTTAAAACTGATTTCAGCCTTGGTTTAGTAAGTATATGGGACAACTGGAGGGACCAAAACTGAACTGGTGAATAAATTCTAATAATAATATACGTTTTTCATGCATAATCATGTCAATGATAATGTTTGTATTTTAATGAGCAGCTTGTTTTTTTTAAACGGTGTATAATTTTCTTGTGCGATTTTCTCAAACCATTTTTTAGAAATGGCGCATTTCTTTCTAACAGTTTCTTCGTAGCATGTTTTTTTTGATTTTTTTTACTGACAACGAAAACCATATTTTTCTCCCTTTTTTGCTTTTCTTTTCTCACACGTTTTTTGCACTTTTTTTAATGTTCTTTTTTTGCTTTTTTTCCAATACAGGGGAATATATGACGAAATAAAAGCCGTGTAATAGATGGTAAAAAAATCGATGTATCCTATCCGACTCAAGCATCCATCAATTTAGTGTTTTTTTCTGACAGTTTTTTCAGAGCGATTTGTTTTTTAATAGACGGTGTTTTTTTCTTGCGCGGTTTTTTCAAATCATTTTTTAGAAATGGCGCATTTTTTCTTACAGTTTTTTTCTTGCATGTTTTTTTTAAAAAAATTACCGACGATGGAAATAATATTTCTCGCATGTTTTTTTTATGGAAAATGGAAAACCATTTTAGCATTTTTTTGCGCTTTTTTCTCACGCATTTTTTTGAACCGTTTTTATTTTTCTCGTGCATTTTCTCTTTTTAAATAGTTAGATTAGATTAGAGATAGAGAAGAGATATACACTGATTAGAAATCGGAATTTGTTTCGCCCTTTCCATTTTTTTCTCGCGTGCATTTTTTATTTTGTACGAACCAGCTTTTTATTTTTTCACGAACCATTTTTTTAGCCACTTTCTTAGGGAATCGGACAAACTTTTTTAGATGTTTTTTCAGATTTTTTTCGTCTTTATAGGAATCAGACTTTATTTTTCCCTTTTTAAAGGAATCGGATCTAGCCTTTATTTTTCACCACTTTTTTTTGCCTTTTATAGGAATTGGATCTACTGCTTTTTTCGCCACTTAGTGGAAACAAAATTTTATTGTTGTTGTTTTCTTTTTTTCCCTTTTTTTCCTTTTTTGCAGTTTTTCTTTTTTTTTATGCACCTTTATGCCCTCGTTCTCTCCCTTTTATTATTTTTTCAAAAAAACGACCTCAAGTATCTTATTGCAAGATTATAGGGACTCAAATGTAAATATAAAAATTACAGGGACTCAAATAGAAAAGTACAAACCCAAAAATTAAAATCATATAAAAATGGAATGCTCTCGACCGGTAGGTTCCGTTTTTGCAAACAGATCTTCAATCCGGCACATCAATTTTTTTCACCAAGATGTATGGGATATCACGGTATAGATTGAAACCGAGAGGAGTGTGCCTGAGATCTCGACTCAAACCGAGACCGAGAGGTGTGGTGTGTTTTATTTTCCGTTTTTAAGGGGGGATCGGATATAAAGTCGGACTTTTTCTTTCGTTTCTGAGAGGGAGTCGGACTTTTTTTTATTTTTTTCGCTATTTATTTTGTTTTGACGGGAGTCGAACTTTCTTTTATTTTTTTCACTATTTATTTTGTTTTGACGGACGAAGGAAACATCTCCTATTTTTTATTTTTTATATATAAATAGTCTAATTTAATATATATGGTTGGAAAGACAATCTAAGTGCTTCCCAATTTTCTACCATATAATTCACCAACACAGTCCTACGTCTTTCATACTTCATTCCTCAAATCTAACGACTGAAAATCATCCATCGCATCGCATCCAACGACAGAACACGCACGCGGGATCACTGGCAGAAAAATCACGTACGCGATCGTCGCACGCCTTCCTTCGCACATCGCTCCACAGCGCCCAGATGCAGGTGCACCAGCACGTGCCGCTCGACGAGTACCAGAGCAACCTCCGCGCCATCTGCGCCTACTTCAAGGTTCTGCTTGGATTGAAATCGATTGGTTTTCCCCAACTTGAACTAATTGATGCTGCTGCTTTATGGTTGCTTTAACTCTGTTTTGGTTTCGATCTTTCGCAGGAGCAATGGCCCTCCACTAAAATTATACTCATCACGCCTCCACCAATTTATGAACCGGTGAGAATCCGGTAAGGATGGAAGGAATAACAACAAGATGGTTTTAATCGGTTTTATGTTGCTATATGGCATTCTTGTTGCATTTCCCTGTTAATGGCATCACGGTGTATTTGCCATCCTCTGTTTATTTCATCCATGGCATTAATTCCTGCTAATTGTCATGAACAGACGACAATAAAGGGGTCAGCTAGGAAATTGCTTGTGCTCTCTGTTTATTGAATTACTCCGATAAAAATTACTTTGCTCAAGAATTTAAAACCGAGTTCATAATGCACCAGTACAGTACAGGGTATGCAATTTGACCATCATGTTGTCTGTATTTCTCATGTAAAACTATGTGTATTCTACATTATGGGATTATTTCATATTTGGTTTATCGGGTATATATCCAGTCACCCACCACTTGGTGGCCCTTAGCTTGATCTGAAGATTCTTTTTTCAAGTTACAAATTAAACAATGTTCCCTTTTTTTTTTGTAAAGAGGATTTGCGAACCTTACTGACTGTCCCTGTCTTTCCTTGCAGGGACATGTATGGAGAAGATGACCCTTCAAAACTACCTGAAAGAACCAATGAGGCTGCTGGCACTTATGCACAGGCATGCCTGACAGTTGCTAAAGAATTGAACCATCCAGTCATAGACATCTGGACAAAGATGCAGCAATTTCCTGACTGGCAAACATCTGCATTATGGTATGGATCTATTTCAAGTGACCTTATACCTAAACTTGATGTATGGATGGGCTTAATAACTGTTAAGGGCTGCCATTTATGCTACCAGTAGCCTACTTTGCAGATTGCGCAAACAATCTGATCAAACATAATGGTTTTGTATTTCTGTTGAGAGTAGAAGTTCTATAAAAAATGTAGCTTCATGGTTGACTGTTCTGCCTAAAGATTCTTGCTGCTTACTAAGATGGGGAATCACCTTCCTGTTGTCACTCTTTCTGAAGACTCTATAGTTAAGATATTTAACCGAACAAGACGAACTTGACACTCTCCATAACAGTCATTCAGTTTTCTTGCTTCTGAATTGTGCTTAGATCAAAAGATTATGTTGTATTAATGCCATGAAGTTCCCTTTTCAAATGAATACTACACGTGGAACCTAAAGTATGCTGAATTTTTATACAGGAGTATATGTTGCTGTTACACTTGAGAATGTGTATATGCTACCATGTTTCCTACTAAACTGCATATAGTGCAGTTACTACTCATATTTTTACCTCCAATTATGGCAACAGGTTCATGGCATTGGCCATTTAGTGCATGGGTTTGGTAAATCCCAATGAAAAATAGTGGTGTTTGATCATTCCCTTGGTTCCTTTTGTATGCTACTGAAGGTGAGTGCTTATTTCTGTGATATGGGAGGAAAGTAAGGATTCCTACAATTCCTCGGTTTTTTTCTATTACCATGATTTCTTGTATAGCTACTCAACTTCTTGGAACCTACTCATATTTACAACTGTGTTTCAATATGGGAGTCTTTTCTTGCATACAAATTCTTATAAAGATTTATGTAGTGCTCAATTTTTCACTTCATCTATGTTTGTGAGAAGAGATAGTTTTGAGAAACGATCATTACAAGTTAAAATGTTTCCAGCTACAACCAATACACAGATTTCAGTTCACTGCTCAATTTGACATCAAATTGCTTGGCTGGAATTGCCGCCGAATCAAGTAAGGCCTTATATATATCAGAATTGAATAGTTTATAGGAATATGGGTCAAAATTATATTATTATTGATTTGTTTCCCTATTTGCCACTGTACCACCCATGCATGATTAAGTACTTGTCTAATCAATCAATTTACAGTGAAAATTATGTGTAGCATTTATGTAATAATCGAGTCCATATACTTGTGAGATAGATCGTCATTTTCTGAATAAAATTGATGACCGAGTGTACAGAACATGCCTCATTATATGTAGATGCAATGGACTTGATTGTCATTCATCCGAATTAGAAATGGTGCATTTTTACTCTTGGGTTTGATCATATATTTCCTGTATTAAGATTTTGTGCTGGCTTTATTTGGAGTATAAATGATGCATATCCCCCAATATAGTTTTGAACCAGCAATATGCTTGAATCTGGAAATATTTTTATTTATTACTTGTTATGTGCCATAAGCAAGATGAGATCAACTGTTCATATTTCCTCTTTACAGTAGGGGCATGGAGGCGAAACCGACGGTGTGGAGGTGATCGTGTCCCAGCGATTGTGTGGGAATGCACAGTGAATAGGCCTATCTTCTCTGTACACGTCACCGTCTATAACACAGACATACCCTACAGTGCACAGAGTCATCTGATCCTAAAGACGCCGGCCTACATCATGCTCTCCATCCTCCGAGCCCCCTCCCCTACAAACAAGGTTAAGTCAAAAAAAAAATTTCTCATTTTTTTTCACATATATTCTGAGATTGAACCTGGACAAAACTCATCTCATTGTGACATAGTACATTGTATTAGTTCAGTTTTGGTTTGTTTTGATTCATAGCAAATGCATTATGCATGCTTGCTGGGCTTTGCAAATCATAATCGTAAACAGCAAAATCATGTATTAAGTAAAAAAAAAACAGCAAAATCATGTATGAACTGTTGTCTTTTCTTCTATTGTTACAAAAAAAACCCTAAGATGGAGCACAAATATTACGCTTGTAGGTAACCCTAAGATGGAGCACCAATATTACGTCTGATCTTAAGATGAAGTTGTAGCCGCATTCAACTGATTATATGTGAGAAATTTATATTATGTGCTTCAAGTTGGAGAATGTATTCACCTGGCTATACCATTTTTGGTCATGTTTATTATAAAATTGAACTATGAGTGTGCAGACGATGGAACTCGTTTACAGTGGCATATATGTTAGTTTGAATTAGCTTCTTTTTGTGCCATGAAATTGTGAACAATGGACTATCGGAACCATGCCATTTATTTCTATGCGATAAGACAGTGAACAATGTTACTAGGCTCGGGATGCTGGTTTGATACTAATTACTACTCCCTCCGTTCAATTGTCTGGATGGGATCAATTTCCAATTCCTGTTTAAAAAAAATAAGGGACAAGTTTAATTTTTGTGTAATGAAAATTACTGTATGGAGGTTATCCGATATGACATGGCTGTATTTTGTTATTAGGTTTAAAATTGATTTGGCAAAACTAGATCTCCTGTTCAAAACTTGAACATGCATAATTGGGCACCATGGCATCAACTCCATGTCAACCTGACCCTTTTGTACCTATTTTTCCCCATTGCTTTCTAGGATCAACAATTCAATGCTACTAAATCTCAGGGCCTAACCTTTCTATTTGTATGTGCCAGTCAATCCAATGAAGGAATATTTTTTTTTGATTATCGACGACCAGGTCTGGTTCTGCCTTTTGGGAAAAATATACTACTCATGTGCATATTACCAGGTCTCATTTTGTGAAACATTAAAACCATCCCATTATGCTAATTCTGGTTAGGTACTACTTTTAGGCGCTGTTTGATTTAGCTTAGGATTATTATAATCTGAATTATTAGGAGTAAGCTGAAACAAACAAGTAGATTATTATGATAGATTATTATAATATATAAGCCAGATTACTATAATATAATAATCTTCTTTGGAGGAGCTTTTTTCAGATTATTGGGTGGCTAAAGACCCACTACCCTTAGATGCCTCCAATAATCCAAAGAAACAAATAGCTCGCAGCTTATTCTATGTCAGCTTATTATAATCTAGCTTAGAGTAATCTGATTTAATAATTTAGATTGCAATAATCTTAAGCTGAAATAAACTGGGCCTTAGTACAGGGAGCTCCTTTCTCTTCTTGATTTATCTTCGATTGGACGAAAATGTTAGAAGAATATGAATTTTCAATTTTTAATTACATACTGATTTATCTAGGCATCATATATTCTCATTATGCTACTTTTGGTTAGGTAGTACTTTTGGTACAGGGAGCTCCTTTCTCTTCTTGATTTATCCTTGATTGGACCAAAATGTTAGAAGAAATGTCAATTTTCATTTTTTAAGTACAAGCTAATTTATCTAGGCATCATATATTTCTTTTATGACGAAATGGTGCATTCTTTGTTTGCGATTTGATTTCTCGATATGTTTAAGATTGAAGTATTTCCTTGTTGATTCCTTACTCACAGCTGAACAAAAAAGACTCCGAGATGCTATATTGAGAACGGCTTGTCTATATGATGGAAGGAATCACTATATATGTGATGACTGACTTCCAAATATGCATTACCTGTTTCTATTGTTGACCCATGACTGGCTTGTACAATTAGTTCAGCTGAAGTTGTAAAACAATTATTACAGTTTCACTCCATATGTGTCTATAATCATTTTCTGTGTAATCTGTAAGTATTACTATGCCACTTGTAAGAAAAAAAAAGTGATGTGACTGTAAAAAATAAAACCAATGCTTAATTCAGCTATAAAGACAAATAGAATTGCACCGTAGCGTTTAGCACGGGCATATTACTAGTAAGGAGTAATGGATAAATGATTGAGGACTGTTCAGAAGCCAAACAGACGCGCGACTCTTCTCGGGAATTCACTTATTGTGACTTTTGAGCTAGCCTATGTCCAGTAAACTCCCAAGACCTTTCATTCCCATCTAGGAGGGTTGTTCCTAATATAAATATCCCCTATATTTTATAATTTAGGGACTTTTGACAATGAGAATATGAACCCCTTTGTTTAGCTGTGTGCTAACAAATTCAGAGAGAGATCTTTACCCCTTTGCTCTTTTAATTTCCTTATGAGATTATAGAAGCGGCGTTCGACGCCACCCAATTGGTGCTCCTGGTCCCTTTGAGGATTTTTCCTCAATTGATTCTAGGTTGTGTTGGTTGATAACTTAGAGTGTGGTTGGGCGAACCCTCGATTCAAGTTGCCGTAATAGAGGCGGTATGGTGGTTGGCTTCAAGTACAATTGTCGGATTGCACTGTTATCTTGGTTGCTTGCAGGTAGTTATCTTGGTCTCTTTGAGGCTAGTTATCGGTTCTTGATCCTACACCGTGAAGATCAGAACATCACCCCTACTTGAGTCGTATCAGGTAGGCCATGGCATAGGGTCTTGGAAGTCGAATACAGCACAACATATGTTGGGCCAACAAGGGTTGAGACCCAACATTCTCCATGGACCAAGACCAAATGTGTGCAGTTATACAAAATAGGAAGCAGTAAAATACCTTCCTCATAAGGTCAATTGATGATAACTTATTTAATGTCAAGATTTACCACTCTGCCTGCCCAAGTGTCCATCCCCCCTCCCTCCCTCCCCCCGCTTATTTAGTACCAGCGCACAAGCAGTATCCACAGGTAAATCCTTTAGCCAGAGAAACCCTATCTCTTACCAGAATCAATCCCCTCCTCATCGGCGGCGCCCATGGCCCCTTCCCGGATCTCCTCATCGGAGTCGGAGCGCCCTGTTGGGAGCTATCGCTTCCACATCCCCCGCCAACCACCACGCATCCAAGCTGAGGGAGGCAAGCGCCACATGATCATAGGTGACCGCCGCCATGGGGGCACTGCACTTTGGCGCCGTGGCTCGATGTTGCCGCCTTCACTTCCTCGTTGGGGTGTGGAAGATGGCCATGGGCATGTGGATGGAAGCAGCAGGCAACATCCATCGGAATTGGGCTTCTCCTCTGCCCTTTCAGTGCCGATAGGCGGGTGGATCTGGAGGTTGGCGGCTGCACAAGCTCATGGGGAAGTGATTGATGGTGGCCGATGTGAAGATGAAGCTGGCGATCACATGCAGCCACCTCCAGCATCCTCTGCTTCTATGGCAATGTTGTCCGAAGAGCGGATCTCAGCCTCAGGAATTGTGGTGCGAGAACGGCAGCTGCATGGATACGGGGAGCGGCCCTTCCAGCCATGTTTGGCAACCATGGCAGCAAAGGGGACAGCAAGAGAGATCTCAACTAAGAAAATTGCCAAGAAGGATCATGGGGAAGTGGGTGATCTCACTATGGCTGTGCTGATGCCCAGCTGGACCTCCACTGGCAACCACAGCAGTAGGAACCCCACCCGATGCCTGGAACAGTTACCGGAGCCGTCGAAGCGGGCTCACAGCGAGGCGTATGGCAACATGCAGCTGGCTACTGGGGACCTCATCGTTGGCCTCCACAAGCAGGCCACCATCACTGTCCCCCCACCCAACATTTCTGAGGTAAATTTCTTAGGGCACCCATATGTCTTTAAATGCAACTAAATTTTAAAGAAAATTGCTTATAAAGTTGTTGGTTCATAGATGTTCGACTGTCCTTTGCAGATTGGTGGTCATCTGACTGCACACAAGAATAATGAGATGACTATGGGCAAGGGAGTGCAGCACACCATAGATGTCTCCGTTGCCAAGGAGGCAACCCGCTCATTGGTCAGCAGTGCCAGGCAGAGCAGGAGAGGGCCATATGAGTGCCGCAAGTGTGGAACGATGTTCAGCAGTGGACAAGCACTTGGTTGGCACATGAAGAGTCACAACTCAGACGAGCGATGGGGTGACAAGAGGGTTCCCAGTGCCTTTGTTGGATCATTTTTATCCCTTATCACTCCAATAGATGTCAGTAATGTTTCTGTTCCTAGCAGCCGCAACCCTCATACATCCTCCATCCCCAACAAAGAGGAGGGGAGGGTGCTGGTGATGGGGGCTGCACCTCTCAACGGCGTACCCAAGGGTAGTTTCCGTCTCTTTGGTGAAAACATTGCTGAAGCTCCCAAGGAAGAACCAATGGAGTAGGTTGTATGCCAGTTATTAATTCAGAAATGGCAAACTGATAATCAAATCCTCTGTTTTTTTTTCATTTTCCCTTGTGATGTGCGGTGTGCACAACAAAGTTTGTTAGCTTAGGCCGATTCAATCGGATCGTGGGATGGCATGTTCTGAGGGTATCATGAGTTGAGTCGCTGGGAATGTGGGATGGCATGTTCCAAGTCTTGGCTGCTATGGAGCTATATAATTCACCTGTAATTCAATTAGATTTTCCAGTTGGAGAAATAGAGAATAAAATCATCGAAACAGAGCTCTCTCTGCTGATATTGTTCATAATCTTGGAAGGTCTCCTGGGCTCGATGCCCACAATGTAAATTAAGTTAGGAGAGCATATGATTGAGGTCTGCTAGTGTTTTAGAGGCTTAAAGTTTGGAATGGTGATGGGGTGTTTCCGAGTTTTGTATAATTAACTATTGGTAGTGCAGCATCACAAACATGTGAACTTAGAAATATCTGGGACAGACAAGGAGCAGCAAGACAAGGTGAGGAGGGAGAGCAAAGAAGGAGAAGGAAATTAGAAAAAAGGAGAACATTTGCATCATCAGATGTTTGGCAGAGATATATTAGTTTGTTGTGAGCTTGGAAGAGAGAATCTCAATGATTATTTTTCATGAACTGTGAAAGAAGTTTGTACATGAAAAAGAGACTATCACTCTTTGTCTCAGGTTGAAACTATGTCACGACATGAAAAATAACCAATATGCGTCATACAACATGTAAAGGGTGAAGTTCTAGAATATAAGTATCTGGCATATAACTTGCTGGTAATTATTTTGGGCTTGATGAGTGCCTTCTATGCTCATCCATCTAAAAACAACATATTTTTTTAGGTTCGAAAGCAATAAAGGTTTAACAATATCATATAAACAATGTAATTTTAGGTTCAAAAGCAATAAATGCAAAGCAATACCATATAAATATGGTTCGAAAGCAATAAATGCATATCAATAAGCAAGGTTCAAAAGCAATAAATGCATAGCAAAACAATATAAACAAGGTTTGAAAGCAATAATGCATATCGATGACATATAAAACAAAGTGCAAAAGCAATAAATGCATAGCAATCTTTTAGCGATTATTAATGTAAATGAGTGAATCAGCAGAACTCTAAACATGATGGAGAAGGACCATTTATGATATTTTTTGGAAATCGTGGTGATAATTAATATGGTGTGATGAATAATTGATATGATGTATTTATTGTGTTTAAAGTGATTTTGTGTCTGAATTGAAATTTCCAAACTAGTGAATAGCAATGGTCAAACGGTGAATAGTACCATATCAGACTATGCATGTCTTTTTTGCTTTTGAGGTTAAGGTGAGTTTTGATATTTCAAAGTTCGATTTCGATTTCAACCCCTCCCTCCCTCCCCTCTTTCCTCCGGTAGGGTTGATCGCCATGTTTCAATCCTACAATTTTCATTTTTTCAGTGATTCAGGACAAGCTAGTTCGCATAAATTTTGCTTATCTATAGTATTATTCTTATATGCCTGAAGTGTTTGTTTCTAGTTTAGATCTTAAGTATTTTACTTGTGGACATGTTGGCTTTATTCCTGTTATGTAAATTATATCATAACAACTTTGTTACTTCTCTTTGATAACTTCAAATCTTTGACATGTACATTGTAAGATATTTATACTTGATTCGAATGTAGGCTAGATTGCCTTGTCCCAAGCTTGCCACAAATGGTTCCCTGTCTCTGGTTTTTCAGTTACCCGTTTATCTTTACCTTGTAATCCTTGGGATGGAGGGAAGAGAAAGCATGCCACTATCTTCTGAAGTGTAAGAGCACCCGATGGTGATGCCAGTGCGGAGATCAGTAGGATGTTTTATATGTTTGTACTGAATTTTTTTATGAACTAAACAAGGTTACTGTTATTTTCATAGCAGTGAATAATATACATCGCACTTGTTATGAAAAGTTCAGTTTAAACAAAACCAAATGAGCAAAAGGATTATTTACATTGGTGGATAAGATAAACAAAAGAAGGAACCAATTGAATGCTAGTAATAAGCTGAGAATTTAGTGCCATATAGTATGTTTTGCTTCCCTCCATGTATGTAATTATTTGTACTGTTTATTATTGTCCATTTTATCATAAGCATTGTGCTCCTAAACTACACCTATAATGGGCGACATGTTCACATACTTCTTCGCATCGTCATGTTAGTTATTTATATATATATATATATATATATATATATATATATATATATATATATATATATATATATATATATATATATAGTTAGTACATTTCTTTGGTGCACCATGGTGCCCAGGCTCCATGGCCATCCACAATCCAAATGCTTTAAGATCTGTGCAATGCACTATAGGATACTATAACCTATTAGCGGGTCTAACACGATAAGATATTGCATGCATATACTTTCCATAGAACATGCATGCAGGTAATTTCCATTTCGAAGTATAACGTGCTTGTGTTTCCAAAATTGATGCCCACCAATTATGATTAGTACTTTCCAACATCAATGCCTTGGTGTGGAATGAAACACTTTGAGTGATTCGAGAGAATCAATTGAGGAGTACAGTAAAAGTTTATAAACATCAAAGAAAACCCCAAGGTGGTAGACACTTCAAGGTTCACAGACACATGTATATCTTGAAATATTTTGCGTGTCATATCATTGAGCAGAAAGTCATTACTCTAGTCGACCCATGAGCTTTACTCGGGGATGAGTAATGGATAACTGTGGGGGTGTTGTTGACGGTCGTTAAGTACAAACTTTAATCGTCAAGTCCTGCATAAGAAACGTCAAATATAATACCAAAACTTAGTGGTAGGAGTTTATTACTAACCATTTCCACTAGCTTCAGTAAGTATATATATGCAGGTCATTTAAGGAGAAAATACACCCGCCATGCAACGAAAATGAACCTTCGGTCAATCACGCACGAGCATAAGAATTGGAGGGCCGGCCCACCTTACTGTCAAAACCGACTTAAAGTTGAGCTAAACAATCCTAACTGCCATAAGGGCCCACTAGTTAGTCTCCTAGCCAAAGGAGCAACTAGGAGGTGGGGCCCACATGTCAGCCGAACCCGTGGTTCTGCCCAACCGACCTTGTAGCCAATCATCCTGGCCTTCCAAGTGGAAATCTAGGATTACACCCTAATGACGGTTGTGGATGAACCGACCACCAGAACTGATGAGGACACAACTAGCTCGGATATAACCATGACTACTTTATGTATTAATCAACCAAAGGTACATATATTCTACATTAGATTTACTTGTTATATATTTGAACAAACGTTGCTACACAATGAGTTTTGTGTGTTTTCGTTTGCAGAGGTACTTGCTTGGGCGAAAGAAAAGAGACCGAGCATAAGGAATGCATGGATGATTGAAGAAGTTGATTGGGGACCAAACCAAGACCTTCTCCAAGTCTTCTTTCATCTCACCACATCACTTTTGGTCCATAGAAGACAATAGATAAAGTTCTATACGTTTTGGATTCGGATCTGGGCCCCCTGACAGCATCAACTTCAAACGGACCTAGCCGCTGATCTAGAAGAAATTTTGGGGCCCATAAGTACTTGTTAGAAAGCTTATTGAGTCTACTTTCATATGGTTTTGGTCCCACGCCAAAATTCCTTCCGAGCTGCCGGGAATCTGCAAAACAAGTCACGTATATCATCCAGTCCGAATCTGATTTGTGTTTTGGGACTTATAACTGTGTCGTGGGCTTAGCCCATGGGGGTGTGCGCCCTAGGGCAACCGTAGAATGTCCCTAATCATTTTTATTCAGTAGCCGTCATCGTTTAGAGTTGGGTTTTGCTTAGATTATTCTGTCAAGAACAGTTTCGCCGCTAGATCGGTTTGTGGAACCCCAAATTCGTGTGCTTAATCATTCATATGCAATTTGGTTGCAATCTATCTTGTTCTTACTTGTGTTCTTCGATTCGCATGCAGGGATTAGCCTTCTCGGCGAGGTCAACCGGGTTTCGGTACGGTTGATAACCAGAGGAGACGTGGTGCTGCGATTGCGGGGCTTAGTAGCGTGTTCGTTCAGAAGCCGGATCGAGTTGTGTCGCGACTCCGCCCAAATCGACTGTTTATCAATACCTATCAGAAGATCGGGACCTAACATCCCTCATCAAGAACTGCCATTCTAACTGTCGTTGCAAGCTATAAAAGGAGGAGGCCTTCACACTTGGAAAATGCAGAACAAAGTAGAGTACAACTCACCTTTAGATTTTAGACTTTACTTTAGTATGTTGGCTTGAGTAGGGAGTGAAGGGAAGCTCCAGAAGGTGTGCCCCAAAAAATTGGAGTTCCTCCAAGAATTATACGAAGGAGTGTTGGACTGTCGGCATTCTTCCAATGGAGTACCAGAAAAAGTCAGGATTGTCGGCCTTCTTCTCTCGCTTGTACCTTGGCGGATGCTTCCTTTTATAAAGTAAGTATTCGACTTTCCTTATGTTCTTTAATTAGTTTATTTTAAGTGAGGTATATTCTCATCTGTGCGGGTTCATCACTTAGTGTGCAACTGAGTGCTCTAGTACTAGGACTCTGGATAAAGAATGAAGTTTCTGCACAAGGCTAGAGTAGTACTCCCTCCATTCCAAATTGATCTACATATTTCATAGTACACCAAGACCAAGAAAAGCTAATAACTCTCTCATACTATATTTACTCTAGCAACAAACTCTATGCATGCACCATCCCCACTATTTCCTAGCCAATAGCAAATCAATATATTGCATGTGGGTTATAAATACTTGTGTGCATGGATGCATGCATCAATGTCCATTTACTCCAATACACAAATAACGAATAGACTTAATAAATGAACACAAATATGTAGATCATTTAGGAATAACCTCAAAAAAAACTATATGTAGATCAATTTGGAATGGAGGGAGTAATTAATAACTTAAGTGTGGTGTCTAGGTTAGAAATTACCTTTCTTTGTTGTTTGCTACCCAAAAATTGAGATGGCCGGTAGGTGGTAATAGTCATGTCTGTCCTTTATGTATCCCTCCATGTTCGGGTATATCATAGAGCTCAAGACTGGACATAGCCTGGCAGACCAAGGGAGGGCCGGTGCCTATTGGTATTTCTTACGACCACAGGTAAATCGGCAAGCGCACGGAATACTGCTGTAGCACTTCACCTTCGGGTGACCCCAAAAGAATATCGAACTCAGGGAACATGTGTAATCTACCTAAGGCTAAGATGATCCAAGGACAACAACTATAGGTAGGCAGGCTAGAGAGGACTTTCTATGTGTTTTAATTATCTAAGCTAAGCAAAGGTATTTTCCTATCTGTTGCTTCGGGCACCGACCCCTGCTGGTCTACCAGCGTGGTTCCGACTATAGCTCTATGATGTATCCGAACGTGGAGAATTAATAGGACGGGATTCAGGGCTATCACCACTTGTCGTCTACCTCTGACAAAACCGTGGGATACACAACAAACAAAGGTAATCTTTAACCTAGACACCACGCATAAGTTATTAATT